CCCCAAAACCCCAAAACCCCAAAACCCCAAAACCCCAGACAGAATGTAATTCTGGAAGTTTGATATAATATTAAATATGGATAGTTCAGCGGATAGAAGAGATATACAGTTTCTTTATGATGGGGAAGTAATCCCAATAAATATTAGCAGGCACTACTCAATCCAAGATATTGAAAGTTTATTACAAAACTTATTCGGCGTTCAAGGCAGACTCCTTGGCTTGAAAGAAGCAGATACAGGCATCTTTTATGTAACAAGAATAAAATAACTATTTAGATTCCCAGCACTTTCATGGAAAATGCCATCACTTCAAGAAGCAGAAGATTTGAAGTTGTATTTGAGAGGGTAAATTTAAGATTTTTAAAAGATTTTGACTTTGGATATGTAGAAGACTTCAAATGCAGCACAATCAAGTTCATCTAATTCTAACCCCAGAGGGTAAGATTTGTAGATAACGATAATATAGTGGTCTCATGAGCAATTTCAATCCTTCTCCCTCCCCAAGTATGTAGATTTCAATATCTCGATACAAATTTTGGATCTTGTTGTCGTGCAAAGCGGTTAAATTTTGGATATAGTTTCTCAAATGTCACATTCAGGGATAGAAAGGGGCTTTCATCTTGACCCAAACCAGTGGAGAGATGATAGGACTAACTTGACATCAACAAGCACTAGATTGGAAGACCCAAAGTAAGATTTTAGATTTGTGGATAAAATTTGGACTTTTGATGCAATATATTTTACTCTTTTCAGAAAGATCGGAATGTTTCTGATATCTAGCTCATTCAATATTATAGCTCCCAGTATTTAGAAGGATGGTCAACTCAGAACTCGAGGATTCCAACGCCGAATGAGGAATACAAATCAAGAAGGCCAAGAAATGTATCTAGCAATAGAAATCGTGAGTTGCCAGATAGCAGGCCTATTGATTTCTTAGGTACTGTTTTATTTAGATTCATATGCTGTGAACTCTTATGATCTTTCCTTTTTAAAAGTTGCACTTTCTAACTTTGTCTAGATGAGATCGAGAGAATGGGTTTTAATAGGTACTTTTTCAAAATAATAGATAGGCCAAACGAGCTAAATTCAATGTTAATGCCAAGAGGGGATATTGAAGGTGGGGAAACACAGAGAGCTCAAAACTTGATCAGACAAAGATTGACAGATAGATTTAGATATGATATGGAGAGACCAATGTCCCCATTCCCTAGAAAAGACAAGCTTATGAACTATGTCAACTCTTTAGCCACATTTTATATTCAAGATAAAGAAGATGTAGAGTTATTACAGAAATTAATCCAAAAAGAAGACGAATTTGTGATGGCAGCTTTTGATCTATTCGAGTCAGATAAAGACCAAGAGAACTTACTTGATACCCTCATTAGAATCGTCAGGTTAGGTAAGTGCTCTTACTTATCAATGATTTTACGAGGCAACACTCTAATGTCAAATTATAGCTAAAGCTAAAAGAGATACAAACTTAGTTTCCCTTTCAACTACAGGGCCTGGATTTAGTGAACCTATAATTCAGAACGAGGATAATTCAAGATATATGACCGCTTCATTTGGACCATCTAGCACTCATCAGCCTACTCAAGGTTTTCCAGAGCAGAGTTCTTCAAGTTCTTCTGAATCAGAATCATCTTCAGAGTCAGACCAAGACTCTTCAGATTGTGATAGAGAGGAGAGAGAAGAGACTAAGGTAAATATCGGAATGATGGGAAGAAGAGAACCATCGGGATTCAGTGATACAATGAATCAAAGATTCCCAGAGTTGAGCAATAACCCTTCATTTTCTCCAGAATTTGCTGTTGATAGAGTGCAAACATCTCATGGAAGACAAAGAGGAAAACTTGGAGGAAAGAGACAAGGCACAGGAGATCTAGAGCAGGTTGATGTTTATACTCTAATTTCCAATAACATTCAACTTAAAAGAGAGTTGGACGACGAGGCGCAAGGCTTTGCTCTACATCTAGCAAATCAGAAAGATTTTGATTTGATAAAACTGTGCATCGACTACACCAAAACTCAAGACATTAATACTTTTGTAAAAGAAGTATCAGAGTATGTTAACAACCATGCTAATAACTTCTACTCTGATGAGTTTTCAGAGGATGAATTATCAAGACTCAAAAGAGAGAACGATCTTGGTCATTTAGATTCGATCTTTGCTTCATTTGGCAAGTCTGGAAATGTAGGCATGTATAAGAACAATCTTTTGCAGGCCATCAAGAAGAGATCTGGAAATACCATTATGTCAACTTTGCAATCATCTGTTAGAAGGAATATAGAGATTCCAAGGCCAACTCAGAGAAGAAAGTAAGAATGTTTATTTGATTTATAGTATCATAAATCATCACAGTATCGAGTCTATCAGAAGCATATTTGTGTTGATTCAAAATTTAGAATTCCTTAATTTGGAGCAGAAGAGAATGGTTCAAACCCTTGCATCTGCACATGATGAAAAACTTATTGCTATTGCTGATGTATATCTGACTACTTATGATATGGAAGATCTCAGGGAAAACGTGGAGATATTGCTAAAAGCAAGCTTTAATGGAAATAATGGCAGATCCCATAGAAAATCATCTGGGCAAAAAACTTTAGAAGAGATGCTAGCAATTATGGGAAGAGAAGGAGAGATCACTAATACTGAGAAAGGAAAGTTACTGGCTCTCTATCAACACAACGATCCAAGAGTTTTGGCTATAAATGATAACTACAGATATAATCATGATGAGACAGAGTTTAGAGAGTCGATACAGTTGATTGCTACTGCTATATCTATTAATCATAACAATCAAAGACAGGTCGCCAATAAGAGGTCTTCTAGAAGAAGCATCTCCCCACGTGAATTAATCAATCCTAAAATGGCAGAAAGTGAGAGCGAAGAGTACGAAGAGGAGGAAGAAGAAGAGGAATATGAAGAAGAATATGACTCTAATGATCAAATTGAAGGTGAAGAAATCGGAGTTAACGATGAAAACGTCAAGAATACTTTCATTGAGCAACAGCATAGGATCATCAAGAAGTTTTGCCTCAATGCTAAGATTCCAATCACTGATGGAGCTAAATTCCATCAAATGATCAAAGAGTATAATCAGAAGATTATCAGCGCTTTTGAAGTATTTGCTCTGAACAGAAACGAAGATGACTTTTTGGAGAACCTCATGGTTATTGCTGATGTTACAAGAACTCCAGGAGAAACGGAATCCCCACATGGTAAAAGAATGTCTCCAATGACCTCAGAAGATGATACAGAGGAAAATGAAGGAGAAGAGGAAGAGCAAAAGCTCTTTGACTTGGAAGTAATGCAGAAAGAAAGTGAAAGCGAAGAAGCGGAAGACGAAGAATCAAAACTTCTCGGAAGAAATGGATTAAGCAATGGACATGCGACTCCAAAGATTAGTATTCAAGTCCCTTATACTGTTGATGAGATGAACAAATTTAAAAATGATCTAGAAGATTTCAAGGAAGACCTAAGCCAAGTAGAGTATGATGCACTTAGAAACCTTGTGACTGTTCAGAATAATCAAGAAATTGCTACAATCATGCAAAGTATGCCAAAGGCAACTGTTGTTTCTACTCTTGAAACATATAGTTTCTCAAAAGATAAGGAAGAAGCTCTTGATACTTTCAAACTTTTCCTTGAATTGAGTCAAAGATAACTACTTACTCCAATGTTGAAACATTGCTATGGGGTTTTGGGGTTTTGGGGTTTTGGGGTTTTGGGG